CGGGGATGGAAGGGGAGCTCGGCGGGGCTGTGCGCCCGTCCTGCCGGCGTCTCCTGCTGGAGTTTGACGTCCCGTGGGGGGATAGGAGGGGTTCGAGTGCTGCTTTTCCGTCTCGCAAAAGTGCATTGAGGGACAAGAAGGCCTTGGAGCGGTGGCTGAGAGCTGTTCTGCAAAATGCCTTTATCTCCAGAAACTTTCCCTTCCCTTCCGTCAGTGCTGCACCTATGCATGTGCTTTAAATCTTAAAGCTTGACCGTGTGTTCTCGCTCTGGAGGCTGTTTTAGCCTCTTTTAGGCTGTTAAACGGAACATGCGTGCGAAACAAAACGGGTATGATCTCCAGATTTAGCTCATTGTCTTAATTAAAAGTCAGTGCAGGTTGTATGCCTGTTAGCAGAAGGAAAGGTTGGGTGCTGGGGGAGCAGCAGCTGGTGAGATTTTGTGGATCACTTGTTTGCTGTGTGTGCAGACCACCTTCTCCCCGAGCACACTGCTAGAGTCTGACCTAAACCACAGCAGAATGTCAGCGGCTTAGCCCTACCTCAGTTTCCTCACCTGTAAAAGGAAAGTAGAAATGCTTCTCAGTGGGGTGGCAGCTGTTGGTGGCACGAGGTGTCATTGACCAGTGGTTAGTGCTGTGGAGGTGAAAAGTTGGAATAACATCCGTGATCCAAGAGCTTCAGGGCTCTGGGTGTTTGTTTCTGAATGTGGTGCTGCAGAACCTGTATCTGAGCACAGCACTGTCCTGAGGATGTGGCTCTGCTCCAGCTCCATGAGGTGCTGGTGGCACTTAAATGTGCTTTGGAGAAAGGTTCTGTGGTCCCAAACTGGACTCAAGTCAAACCCCAACTCTGTAGTAGGGAAGTACTTTGATCTGGGTGTCCACTCGTGCTTGCCCTTGCATGTGGCTTTTTGGACACTCTCACAGCATCTCTTGCTCTTGAGGAGCCTGTTTTTCCCAGCAGCAGCTTGACCTCCCTCCATACCTGCCTCACCCCCTGTCAGTGTCTTTTTGGCTGCTCTCTCTTCTCAGGCTGGAAATGCTGACCTGGGACTGCACAGGAGCTGCTGCTCACATTTCGAAGGAGCTCCCTGTTGGCATTCCCCAAGGTGCTTTGGTCTGAAGGGTCTCCTTGGCAATGCCAGCAGGGACAAAAAATGACGGTGGTCAGATTTTTTGGTGTGTTGAGAGCAGTGCTGGCCCCATGGGGCAAAATGATCTTTGTTTCCTTGCACTCCTGCCTCATCTCCTATTTTCTAACAGTGTTGTAAGTTCTGGATCAGGGGCTGTGGCTCCTCCTGCTCAGGAGGGCCTTGGACTCTGGTTGGAGCTCCTGTCCCCGATGTTCTGGCTGGCACAGGGCACTGGGGGCTATGCTTGTATTTGGGGACCTCCAGCTTGAGGGACTTCAAAGGGGCTGATGCTGCTGCACAGCAGCACTGAGCATCCCCCTGGGGCAGTGGGACCTGCTGCGAGATGGGGTTGAGGACATCCAGGTTTGCAGAGCTCTTCTAACCAGCCACATCTGCACCGTTTGGTTGTTTGTGTTGCCAGGGCAGTGTCTTGTGCCTGAGCCAGAGCTTGGGGCTGGGGGGCATATTTTCAATAAATACTTGAACAATTTTTTGCCAAAGAGCTTTTTATGCCCTTTGAATCACCCTTATAAAAGACACTGTTACATGACATCTAGAGAAGCAGCACAAGTTACTGTGCAGTCCAGGGAGCCCTGAGTTCCTGCCCACCCCAAGCAAAGCCAAACTAATCCTGACATGGTGAGAGCTGCAGTGCTTGGACGTGGTTAGTTTGGTTATTAAGGTTTTAAATCTGATAGCAGTTTGTTTTGCACTGTTCTTGTAAATAATGAACAGCTACCAGCAGGTCCTAATGAGGAGGAGAGCAAAGATTTGACTTGTGTGGTTTTACCGCCGCATTTATGCCCTGGGAAAAGCAATGGGAATTTCCTGTGGTTGTTGATGTGCTGGTAGGTAAAGCAGCCGTGCAAACAACCATGTAACCTGTGCTGTCTCTTGGCACTAACTCTGCAAACTCTGTTTCCCAAGTTATCGTAGATCTTCAAATTGGCCCAGAGGTCACTGCTTGCAGTCTGGTGAGTCCTTCCTGAGTCCTCCCTGCACTGGGAAGGTGGTGAAATCAGTGCAAGAGGCAGGAATTCCTGAGCAGAGAGAGGGGTGTCAGACCAAGGGCACCTCTTGATGGGTTTGCCCTGTTAGAGCTGAGCACTAATTGGGGGCTTCAGAGGACCAATGAATTGTGATAAAGTTATTCTCAAGGAGCATCTAAGGCCACAGGGAAGGGTGGGTCCAGCTCTCAAACTGGAATATGGGGTAGTGGGTTGCTTGGATGTCCATGACGTCAGGATGGCAGTGGTGGCCAGGAGGTGCTTAAGCCTCCAGGCATAGGTTTGTGGCTGGTTTTGTCTTTTTTCTTTTTTTTCCCCCCCAGATTTAATCTGGCTCTGGAATTGGAGTGCCTGCTCTGTGATTTAGCCACTCATTTGATGGGAATGGATCAGGATCAAATGGAGGATTAGGAGATTCAAGGATTAGGAGCTTCATTGCAGGATGGGATGGGAATGGGGAGCTCTTGAGTGGGAAAGCTCATTAGAAAGGGGAAATGAGACGAGTGTAGAGAGGATGCTTTTCCTCCTGCAGGAATTTCATCAGTGCCCATTTAAGCCCTGTTGGATCTGTCCTGGTTTGGCATCGCCTTCTTCTTGCTTGTTTGCAGGGGAGCTTATTGACTCCCAAAACCCCAGGGTTTAGCTTGCTTCCCTGAGAGGGGAGGACCAAATGCCATGAGTAACCTAGAAGGGCTCTTCCTACCAACCATCTCCTCTACTCCTGCAGGAAACACACAAAGTTTACAGGCAGAAACTGGAAGAAGTCACCAGCTTGCAGACAGCCTGCAGCAGCTCCATACAGCGACAGAAGAAGACCCTAAGGGATCTGAAGCACAGCCTGCAACGGTAACAGGAGTCCTGGAGGGTGGAGGAGGCAGGGGTGGGATGTTTCTCCTTCCCAAAGGGCTGAAATATCTGGGTTGTTAGCAGTTTAACACACAACCTGTGTTGCAGTGCTAAATTTGCTCAGTGTTATTCTGGAGCCACCTCCACCTCTCACCGCCGGCTGAAATGCTTGTGACCCCGTGAGAGATGTGGTCCTGTACATAAAGACCTTTGTGGGAGCCTGTGTGGTGTCATCCTGCTGTGTGTGCCATACACTGCCAGGCTGCACAGCTTTGGCTGTGTGTTTTGCCAGGTGAGCAAAGCTTTGCTCCGTGAGCTCTGCTGGAAGAGCAACATCAGTCCTCGAACCTGAACGTGTCACTTGCTTCTGGGTGGATTTACAGGAGGGAACTGCCTTTGGCTGCTCGGCTGATCCCCAGCAGCCCCAGGCTGAACTCCTCACGTGCAGGCTGAGTGCAGCACCTCTGACCCCACAGGCTGCCAACACCTCTGTGCACTGTTCTGTTTTGCATTCATTGCTCAAACCACAGTTTGCCAGTCAGTCATCAGCTCTGTGTGCTCTTACGTCCTGAAATACTTCAGCCTCTGCAAGGGCAGTGCCTGAAACCATGCACAAAGTTCCCGAGGTGGAAGGAGTTCCTGTAAAAAAGCACAATATTCCTGAAGAGAAGCTGATTTGTAAGTAACATACCACAGCATAAACCTGGCAGTGAAATAGTCATAGTAAGCCAAATGGTGCTGCAGAAATACAGGTGCAAAATGCATGATGGCATCACCTCACACAGTCAGCATCAATCTTATGACAACATTATTTTCCTTTAAATGGAATGGAGGTGAAGACATGAACAGGACTGTCTCGTTTCTGTGTTCTGCAGGTGCAAGCCCAGAGCGAGTCCCGAGGAGTTCACGCTCCTCCAGGAGATCAGCAGCCAGATCAAGGAGAGGCAGAATGCCTTCTTTGACATGGAAGCCTACCTGCCCAAGAAGAATGGGTATGTGCTCTGCAGGAGGGCTGACTTTTGAAGTGTTTGCAGTGCTTTGTTCCCAAAGGTGCATGTCGAAGAAAGACATGGAAAGTTGGATTAGTCAGAAATCTCTGGCTGAGCTGCTGTGTCAGTTGTACAGGGAATTCATGAGCTGTGTGTAAATGCCCTCGATGGGCAGTGCAGGTTCTGTGTGCGAACGAACGGAGCCTGCGCTCGTGAAGGATGTGCAGTTCACTGTTCCACACTGATGTTTTCTTGTTATAATTCTTTTTAAGACCAAATCAGCACAAAAGGTTTCTTTTTTTTTTTTTATTTTAAATGGTACTTTCAGATGACTTTAAATTTATACTTTCCTTCAAGTGGGGCTGCTAGGACAGATTTCTTGCAGCTGTCAAGGGCTGTGTGCTGCTGCAGCCCCTTGGAAGTTTCTGTCACAAACTCTTTCAATTCCTCCCTGTTATTTTGGGGTTTGGACAGTGCATGCTATGTATCTCATCTTTAGACTGTAGCACAGAAAAGGGAGCAGGAAAATAAACCTCTTCACTTACTTCTTGGGAATGCTGACCCATCTTTCCACACTTAAATCCTCTTCTGTTGTCTGTCCCTCCAGTTTGCCTTAATTAAAAGCCTCCAGCAAATGTGGCCTTGGCAGAGAGTGTCTTGTCAGCTCCTTCTAGGTCATCCTGTGGTATTCAAACTAAACAACTGACTTGCATCTGTTCTTGGTTTTTGCCTTCCAGCTTGTACTTAAACCTGGTGCTGGGAAATGTGAATGTAACTCTCCTGAGTAACCAAGCAAAGTGAGTGTTCCCACACGTGCGAGTTTGGGATTCTCTGGTGTGGGTATGGACTGAAGTCCAGGGAGGGGAATGGGCTTCTCTTACCTCTGAGAAGGATGAAATGTTGAGGGTGGACGCCTCAGACCATGAATGGGGCCAAGCTAATGCTTCATGCAAAGCAAGTGATGATTCTCTCCATCACTTGCTTTGAAGCCCAGCCCACCTGTGGCCTTAATTGTAAGGGAGTTTTGGTTGGTTGGTGGTTTTTTTTTGCAATGAAAAATAGTATTGTGACTTCTGGGCATAAAGTGCTCTAAAAATATGGAGATTTTATTTCTTAATTTGTTAAAAAAATCTTATGCCAACCCATAAACAAACACTGATGGACCTGAGCCATTGTCTTGCAGCTGAGACAGACCCTCCCTGCAGGCAGAACTCTGCCTTCCACCACCAGCCTCTGCTTTTCTAAGTGTTCAGCAAAACCTCTGTCTCTGGGCTTGGCGTGTGGGTTTGTGTCTGTTTGAAAAACCTCAAGACACATTGTGGTCAAACACCCATGTGTGTTTGTAAACAGTGTCTGTTCCCTTCCAGGTTTGCCTACAAGGATGAGTATGAGAAGTTCAAACTTTATCTGACCATAATCTTGTTACTTGGGGCTGTTGCCTGTAGGTTTTTTCTGCATTACAGGTAAGCTGCATTTTTACTTTTAAAGCTGCATTTTTACTTTCAGTCAAGTGTTTTGAATAAAACTGTGCTGGGTTTGAATTAACTTATGTCCTGTTAAGGATGGTGAGATGGGATCTGGTGGTGTTTAGGCTTTGAGCAGTTGGGCAGAGGGACAGCTTCTGCACCTCTTCTTCAGCTCTGGCAGGACCTGTATTTCCTGCTTGTTTTTCCTTCTGAAACTTTCTTTGAAGTCTTCTGTGAGAGAGGTCCAACATCATGTTTGCTGTTGATTTTTCGTTCTGGCATCATGCTGTCCTTGGGAACAAGCGGTTGGTTTTGCTCATGGCTTGTCCCAGGCAGGGACCATCACTGTGCTGCAGCTCTGGGGTTGCAAAGGCAACAGCAGAGGATTTGCCTGGAATAATCAGACCTGAAACATTATCTCTAGGTTGTGATAAGTGTCTGGGCACCACCAGGCTTCCAGTATCCAGTTTTGCCTAAAAAGCAGGACGGCGTTGGAGCCAGGCACGTGTGCTGAGTCTCTGTGGGTCTGGGTGGATGCAGGGCTGTACCAGGTGTGCTGCTGCCCTGCACAGAGACTGCAACAAATCCCCTTGGCTTCAGGCAAATGGCCCAATAAAGTTTTAGTGGTATTTTTCTTCCCTCAGAGCATAATGCTCTTCTGTTCTTTTAGTTGATTTGGTTTATGTAGATCTCATGGAATCTCCTCATTGAATTAGCCTGAAAATGCCTCTCTAAATTGGATCATCTGCTGCTTCCATGGTGCTTTCTCTCCTTCAGAAGGACTTAATGTCATCCCTGCATACCTGCTTATCAGCTCAGGATCTGCAGTGTTGTGTCACTTCCCCTGGGAAAGGCCCTGGAGCCTGCAGTGCTGCCTGTGTGTTCTGCCTGGGGGTTAGCGATGTTCAAGGCTTGGGGCTTTGTATCTGTGGCCTCACTTGGGCAGGTTTTCATTCACCCAAGGGGAGGGAGGAAAAATAGGGATTCTTTAAAATCTGTCCTTGTCATTAACAGGATTTTTTTACTCTGTTTTTTTCCGTTTCACAGGGTGACAGATGAAGTGTTTAACTTTCTGCTAGTGTGGTATTACTGCACGCTGACGATACGGGAGAGCATTCTCATCAGCAATGGGTCGAGGTACAGTGGGACCTGCAAAAACTATTTAAAGCCCAAAATGTCCTTAAAAGAAACACAAGCAACAAAAGAGGATTCAGCTTGGCACTGAAGCCCAGCAAATCCGAGGTGCTGATGCAGCGTCTCTTGTCTTCATCCTCCTCCTTGGTCACTTCCAAGGGCAGATGAGGCCACTTGAGGTTTGGGGAGAGAGGAGAAGGTGCAGTTCCTTGGTTCTTCATCCAAAGTATTGGATGTTTTTGGTAGCTGTGGGTTAGTCATAGATGTGGTCTCGGGTGTGAGTGTGCTGCCTCGTGTCACACACCTTTGGTTGGAAATGCCCCAAATCAACCCATTGTGTTGGCTCAGTTTCCTAAGCTCCATCCCTGGGGCAGCTCTTCACTGCTTGGTTCTGCCTTGCTACAGCCCTTGCTCACTTTACTGTCATTTTCTGAGCTTTCTGTAGTACTCATGTCTGAAAGAACCAAAGAGCCACTTCAGAGAAAGGACTTGGAAATGCCAGTTACTCGCATGGCAGGGGGAAAAAAAGAGCGTGAGCTGACACTTGTGTGCCATTAGCCACGGCAGTGCCTTGTTCTGCAGGTGCTGCTGCTGGCTGTGCTGGAGCCTGTGGGAGCAGAGGTGTGCCCTGGGCCTGGGCATCCCTCCAGTGTTGTGGATTTGTGCCCTCAACGAAGCCACGTTGCCAGGGTGGTGTTCCACAGCATCCCCTGTGCTTGAGTTGGGCCATGTGCTTTGCTCCCTGCCTCCTCCCCAAGTCAGGATCATTTTGTGTCTGTAAATCTGGACTTCAGTGCTGAAATCCACATATTTTGTCTAACTGCTGTATTTCCTTGTGCTCAGGATCAAAGGCTGGTGGGTGTCTCATCACTATGTTTCCACATTCCTGTCTGGAGTGATGTTAACATGGTGAGTTTGCTCTCGCCTGCTCGAGGTGCTCCAGGCTTGTCATGGTGTTTGTATCATCAGAGCATTTAGATCCAGTGTGACCATGAACTGTGCTCACACAGCACAGGGCAAAGCATCAGACTGAATATTTGTCTGCTGTTACAGATGTTTTCAATGATAACTACAGCACTGCAAGTCTGTATGTACAAGAAAGGAAAAAAACCCAAACCCTACACTGTGGTTGAGCAGGTGGTAGCAAAATCTCTGCAAGGCTCCCAATTCCTGCCTCTGTAACTAAGGAAACAAGCAACACTTTGCTGTATGGGAAGGACACCTCAAAATGAATGTTTGGTGCCTTTACTGAACCCTAAATACAGAGTATAAAGCCAAAAATGCAAGTTATCTTGCAGTGGGTAGTGGTGTTGGTCAGACAGCCGGTGACGTACGTACCCAAGCAACCTGTACCAGCTTGGGCATGAACTGATTGGTCAATAACTGAAAATTGTTTTAAAACAACAAAAGCTTCTGCTCCTGAATCTGTAAGGGGATGACGTAGTGGTTGGAGCAGAAGGTCCCTTGTCCTTCATCTATCCTGAACTACCCTTGAGACAAGGAGCAGAACCACCTCCTGCTCCACTGCTCAGACTCTTGATGGAGAAGATGTTGAACGGCTTTGCTGCCTAGAGGAAACTGTGATAAGCACATGGATAAGAGGAAAAAGCATTTGTACATGTTGGAGAGGGGAAACCTGACCTATGAGAGCATTTCCTGCGTGGCTATGGCAGCTCTCCGGGCTCCCAGCGGGGTGGAGCCGGCTGGGACCAGCTGCTGATTCATTTGCTAATGGACCAGGCTTGGTGGGGAAGGGCACAGCACTGCTTTTAGCAGACTAATGGGCCTCCTTGTGCTTTGCTTTCAGGCCAGATGGACTCATGTATCAGATGTTTCGCAGTCAATTTTTAGCATTTTCAATATTTCAGAGTGAGTATATCTTAGCTTGCTAATTCAGGGGATAAAGTGATTTTATGTCTTCCTTGCTTAGAAGAAAACACTTTTGTTTGGTAAATATTAAAATATTAGACTGTAGGAATATAAAGATAGTGTACAAATATGCAATCTACAGATAGAAACAATTGAGTGCTATTGGATTAAACATTACTAGAGTAATTTGGTACATTTGTCATACCTCTGAATAGGCAACGCGGCGATGTTTTCTCTCCCCTTCTCCAGGCTGTGTTCAGTTCCTACAGTATTATTACCAGAGGGGCTGCCTCTATCGGCTCCGAGCTCTGGGGGAGAGAAACCACTTGGACCTTACAGTAGGTGAGGCTTCCTGAAATACTTTGCACAGCTTTTGCACAGGTTTTGGGTGCAGTGCTAGGGAGGGAGAGGCCTGTGTGGCCATAGAGAGTGAGCTGTGCAGAGCTGCCCCCTGCCCTGCTGCCTGTGACCCAAGGCAGGAAGGGCAGAGAGGCTTTTATCCCCCTCCCTGGGTCCTGTGGGTTGGGAGCAGAGGAATCTGATCTCTGTCAGCTTTTCAGGAGACTAAGATGGAGGTTTTGGTCATCCTCATCTTCATCCTCCTCCCATTATCACACCTTCAAATTGGTTAGTTGCTGCAGAGCAGGATGGGAGTAGCCCTTATGGGTGTTCTGGGTGGGGAAGAGCTGCAGCTCCAGTGTGCTCATGCTCTTCCTCTTCTGTCAACCTGTTCCAGAAGGATTTCAGTCCTGGATGTGGCGAGGGCTGACATTTCTCCTTCCCTTCTTGTTCTTTGGGCATGTAAGTTGGGCAATCCTGTTCTCCCTCTGCAGCGCAGTGTCTGCCGCTGCGGTCACAGCACCACACAAAGTGCACACACAGCCGTGACAAATGTTTCCAAGGTTTCCTTTTTTCCCTAGTAATAAATTTGCCCCTTTTTTTTTACCCTTTGTAGTTCTGGCAGTTGTATAATGCAGTCACACTTTTTGGATTGTCAAGGCACAAGGAGTGCAAAGAGTGGCAGGTGAGTGTTGGCTCTGCTCAGAAGAAGCACAGAGCAGGGGGAGAGAGGGTGTTTGGGCATCTGAATGTCTCAGGATAATGAGACAGTGGTGAGACACTGTCCCAGGTTGCCCAGGGAGGCTGTGGCTGCCCCAACCCTGGCAGTGTTCACAGCCAGGTTGGATGAGCCTTGAGCAACCTGCTCTGGTGGGAGGTGTCCCTGCCCAGGGCAGGGCTTGGGGCTGGGTGAGCTCTGAGCTCCATCCCAACCCTTGACATACTATGATACTATGAATGCATTACAGAGCCTGTACTATGTCGGGTGGAGTCCAGCACTGTTGCATACAATCCATGTTGTAATACTGAAAAGCAGTAAATGCTGTGTCTTCTCCCCTCTCAGGTTTTTGTGTTGGCTTTTACATTTCTGCTGCTCTTCCTTGGGAACTTCCTCACTACTCTCAAGGTGGTCCACACTAAATTCCAGAAGAACAAAGACAAAGTGAAGAAGCTGTGAACTCCCATCCCCTGGGTGCATCCCTCTGCCTGCAGCAGGGCTGG